GAAATAATGTTTGAGGTTGAATCTATGATATCATAAGTGGTATGAAAATTGATTAAGTTAGAAAATGAAAGGAGGTGACGTTGTACTGTACACATAATAGTGTAAGAAATGATATAGAAAGTAGTATATACTAAAAGATTAAGCTGAAATCCAATCAAATTGAAGTTAAAAATTTATTGGGTAATGGTGGTTGCCCAATGACGGTAGGAGACCTGGTGTGTAAACATCTGTAAGCTTAGAAAATTAAATAGGTATATGATGATGTGATAACAGAATATGATATTCTAACTATTAATATATTGTAGTTTTTATTACTATTAATATAGTATTACTACTATGTTATTGTGAACGGCATGAACAAAGCTAGATAATTAAAATATGTAAATGGGCAACTAGACAAAATGATATGCGATGTGTGTGAGTGTGTATTAAAGAAACAATGAAATGATAAAGATTATGTGTTGAGTTAACTGTGAGGAGATTAGATTGACTATCAATGTTTTATATTACATACAAATTTGAAGTGTTTTACTTCTGTATAATGGTATACAGCTAACTACTGGGGTTTTCCCATTAATTTTTTTTGTATAGGAAGATATAACGTCGAACTAACCTGATTTTAAATTGCAGATCTTGCTTTCTCTATCCTACAATTTATTTCTAGGGACCCAATTTTTATTGATGTTCTTACTAAGGTGGTGTATATTTTTACTCTTTCTATTGGTTGACCATTCACACTGATTCTTCCAATTAGCTGTTTCTTCTAACAGATCATCATACATTCTGTTTTCTTAATCTTTTTCAATTTTGTTTTCTGGATTAATAACTATGGTTTATTCTTTTGAATCGTTAGAGCTTCATGTTAGCACAAGTTCTACACTCACTGCTTATTGTTACGTTGAGATTCATATTAATGATAGAGGTGAATGAAACCTTGCATACTTCATTGATAATGTAAACTCACACTAACAGTAGTAACACTTTGAGATACTCACGTTTTTCCAACGACTGTCTGTATGAGTTTAACTAAATATCACTCTTGATCGGGTGTATTCGGAAGCTGCTAAATACGCACGAGGAAATAATTACCTTGTTCTCAAACCTCTTCCTCTTTAAACCTTTGAAATGTTCACTTAGTTTTTCGCTGGTAATATAAAATGATTTTTTATTACTGAGTTTGAAACAAACGTAGTCAAATGATGCTACTTAAAGTTGTAACATTTTTTTTATTATCAATATATTAAAAAAATTTGTAATTTCTTTTACCCCCGTGATGATCCCTTCCGTCTTAATCCTGAATATGAAAGGAACTAATGCTCTTTGGTTAAGTCGGGTTTCTGTTTAATACTTTGACAAAGAATTCTACCCCTTCTTTTTTCTAGGTAGGGTAGAGTAGTTGGTAAAATTTTTAGAAAAACCAACGAACCAAGGGACTTATGAGTGGGCCGTTGTGGAGAGAAGACTGAATTCTCGTGGGCCGCTTCGCGATACCTTATCGTCTCTATTATGGTACCGTTCTCTGTGTATTTTTTTAAAGTGTGTATACAATTGTTTAATTGAGTATTTTATCTTATACTATATTAGATTAAATAAAGTTATAAAGTACCTTTAAGGTTAATTAAATTCAGTGTTTGATACCAGTAAATTATTAACTTCAGTGAATTAGGCTGCAGTCGTCAAGATTTACTTTAAGTAATCATTATTTTCAAATTATCTGGGCCAGTAATATGATATGGTAACATATCATCCTCCATTATCTGCACGTATCTAAAATTCTTCCATGTCTTCACCTGTCGATTGCTGATTTTTGCTTTCAATTTAAAGAACATTTTAATAGATTCCCGACCTTTCAATCAATAATAATTATGAACATTTAAATCTTAGTTTCTCATTAAATAATAGTGCGAGATAGTTAATCCACTTAGCCAAGTGCGGTTTGGTTAAATTTTTATGTTTTCATTTCTGTAATCTCTTTGTATTTTTGTAAATTTTGATTTAATTAATTTTTGTTATCTTTTGAGTTTGTTATAATTTTTATTCATTTTTTTTGTAATATCTCGAGATATGCCCATAACACTTTATTTGTAAATGATTGTCTTATATATCTTTGTAAAGGTATTTGCTAATTACATTACTGCTTATTTTTATGTTTATATAACCATTTTATAGTTGTTGGTGTATTTTTATTACTTGTGTTGCATTCAGCAGCGTAATAATTTTGTTGTTGAATATATTGATATTGTTTTTATGTATGTATTTTATTTGTCGGCTCCTAACAAGTTAAATGAAATGAGGTTGAATGCTCGAATAAATAAACTTTGAAAATAAGGCTATTATCGAGCACAAGTTAATTAAATCTAGCCCAAGTACTTTCGCTTAAAATTCGCTTATTTTGACGAAATGCCCCTGAAGATGCTATTTTAAGCGAAAGTACTTGGGCTAGATTTAATTAACTTGTGCTTGATAATAGCCTTATTTTCAAAGTTCCTAACAAGTTCCCTGATAAAATAGTAACTCTGACTATTTGCTTTTTATCTTTAAATATTACTATACTTTTGACCAGTTCAGGCTGATTAAGTTTCGTAGGTAATTAATATATTTATTATTTGTTTATATATTGTGTTGACCAAATTTATTTGATAATTAACTGTTGGTATCTTTCCTTGGGTATGATCTCTGAATCTAAATATCTTTCCTTATCTCTTTTCCTTTCTAAGTTTTCTTAATTTTCTCCTTAACCCCAAAAAATTGAGTAGCGCCCTGTTTCTATCTTATCGTATCTTTGGTAATTTTACCCATCTATCTTTTTGTTTATTTCTGTATCTTTTCTAATATCTCCTATCCTATCTTTACTTATTTCGTTCGTTGGGCCTATGCCCGATTCCAAAAGCTAGTTTCGAACCCACGAGTCGCTCTTCACTAACCATCTGGCTGCCGTCCGCAGTGTCTCCATTGGTTATCTTTCTAGCACCATCCAAAAAAAGATTTCCGAGGTTACAAAGTTATATATAAAATTTATTAATGTTTTGCACTGCAAAAGTTTCAAACGAAGAAGTGTTAAGAAAATTGGACATGGCAGAAAGCTTATGAACATAATTAAAATCAGAAAAACATCTCTTCTACACGTCATCATGCAAGGAAGAGTAGAGGGAAGAAAAGGCTTGGAATAAAGAAAAAATGTTAGCTGAAGAATATCAGAGATTGGACTAACCTCAGTGTTAAACAGAAGTTGTAAAAGATAGGGAAACGTTTAAAGAAGTGATTGCCAACCTTTGTTAGAAGAAGGCACTATAAGAAGAAGAATTTTCAACCAATAAACCTTTGGAATTCTGTTTTCCTCCATGTTAGAAAGTATTCGTCTTTCCACACGATTACACAGCTGCATTTTATCATGAATCTCATGTGACCTATCCTGCTGTTTGGTGAAGTTGCTTCTATGTATTCCTCTGTTGTGTTGTAAGTTTCTCGTACCTCTGTAACTGTTACCTCTATTTGACCCATTTCCTCTAAGATCATCCTGAAAACCTTTTTGACTCTGAAAATTTAATCTGAAATTGTTACCTCTATTTGATCCATTTCCTCTAAAATCATCCTGTATACCTCTTTGACTCTGAAAATTTGTAAATCTGCCAGACCTTCTTTGATAACTTGTGGATACTCCTGCTCGACATTCTCTTTTATAATGGCCTCTTTTTCCACACCTATAACAAGATGTGTCAACATTGAAAGCAACTTGTTCAGCACAACTACTTGACTTGCTCTTGCACCCAGGACCTCTTTTCTTCTTCACTCAATAACCTTTTCTTTACCTCTTTATATGATAGTACACCAGACAGTAAATTTTCGATAACTGTTACCACTGTTTCATTGGATTTTGGCAAAGTTTTGCTTCTAAATTTTTCCACATATGGTACGCCTGTTCTTTGTCCCGCAATATCTCTAATTGTGCATCGGAAACACATTGAACAATTATTGATTTGGCTTTATTGTTTATTTTTTGGAATTTTTTCATCTCGTTCTCGTTTAAACCTGTTACTGTTTCGCCTTTTACACACTCAATACTTCATTTTCTGCCAATATTATTTCCATCCGAAACTTCCATGATAAGGAATTCTCACCTTTTAGGGCCTCAAACGGGTTAAATAGATGTATAGATGGATTGAAGTATTATAATTATATTATTAATTTATAAAAAAAAATGTTCGCAACCAACAATACTCATAAACCTCATTGACACATTCGGAAATGTATACAAATGAACTGCGCAAGCCTGCACAGAATAGTGGGTCAGGCTCTAGACGCTAGTACTTATAACACCCCAGTGTGAATTCCATGGATTGGTCAGCCTCACGGACGCCCCCCCCCTCCCATGCCCCGCACAACGAAGCGACCGAGGACGGAAAAGAGGACAAAGAGATGGAACGTTTCGAAAACGTTAAAAGCCATAAAAACTAAAATAAATAAATTAATTTATATAAATAAAATACGTAAATACGGTATAATAGATGAAATATGTATAAATAAAAAAATTCAATAAATAAAAGTAGTTCGGTAAAATTGGAATAATTAAAATAAATAAAATAAATGTTGTAGATATAGGTGGGCTGTATATAGGCCCACCTTCGTTTTCCAAAAAGTATATTTTATGTTTTTTTGGCGTGTTTTATGAGTTCCCTCTCCATCCCTGCTGTATACAAGGGCTCGGTAGGACGGACAGCCATCCTGTCCATCCTATGCCCTTCTTCTTTACACAAGAGGAGTATGGTTTGCTAGTTTGCGACTGTGTGCCCCGTTTTTAGACGATTATAGCAACACACCGCCCTGCTCTATTCTTTACATTCGTAAGTATTGTACCCGAACTTTAAGCACATAGTAACATCTAACTAGGTTTTGTCTCTCCATTATTGGACACCCAACCCATTCTACTTTTATTGCTGTACCTCCTCAGCTCTTCTGCTCTGGAGGGGCGTACGGCTATCGTAGCCACCTGTTCGCCATATCTATTGGTTTCTTAGAGCCTTAACTGCTATCTCTCCCTCAGCAACGCCTGTATAACTATTTATTGCTTTTTTTAAACTTTCTTCTCCAACCCCAGGGTCCAAACTCGTAATTATGAAGAAAGTGTTCTTTCTTCGGATTGCCGTGTCCATCCCGTTCCTTTTGCTGTCCAGCTCGGCCCTGAACTTCGCCGCAGCCTCGCTCCCATTTAACTTTACTAGTAGATCTCCCCCATTCGTTCTTTTTAGCTTGTCCACTTGTACCCCGATCTTTTCGATGTCGATTTTCTCTCTCATTTCGCTAAGAACTTCGTTATATTTCTTTCCTTCCATCTTTATAAGGAGAGCTTCCTTTTGTTTCACTCTCCGCTCTGCACCGAACTCCTTCCCTCTTACTAAAATCTTCCAGGATATACTATCTCTATGCCCTACATATTCGAGAGTTTTTACTTATGGTTTCCTTATTTAGGTCGTTTGCGACGACAACTCACATGAACTCTGGAATTTCGTTCATTTCTTTCCTTATGTCCTTTATAGCCTCTACTTGCCATATCGTATGCATCTCCCCCCCCCGTTCTTTATCTAATCTGGCAAGAAAAGTAAACCATACCTTTTTTTTTTAGTGTTCTTTAGGTAATTTATTTATCCCTCTTCTATTTCTTCTAGCATCTCCGCTAGGTCCTCCCCTACATATTTAATGATGTTTTCCACACCTTTATATTTCGTGTCCTTTTTTGTAAATATTATACAGTTCTTTTTTTATACTGTTTCTAGTAGCCCAGCTTGTCCCACTTTGTCTTTATATATACTTTCTCTTCCTATTTACTGTCGCATATACTCATAAATATTCTTTTCCCTTTTCCCATGTTTAAGGCCCTTTGGATATTTTCTTGTTCTTGTTTCTGCTTATCCTGCTCCTTTTTTTGTTTAAAATGGTCACATTTTAATTCGTGTTGGGTTTTTTCGGTTATCCTATTATCCTCCCTTTTGTTGTTTGGGGATTGTATAATCCGTACCAATTTTTTTTTAAATCGGTGTCCACCTCCAGATTTTTTCTCTGTTCGCTAATTGTTAAATATTTCTTCGAGTTTTGTATTTAATTGCTCTAATTTCCTGTTTATTTTTTTCTTGTTTTGTTTTATTTGGAAACCTTATGCTCTCATCCAGCCTTGTGCGCCATGTCTGGTTTCAATCCCCATTTCTTTCTATATATACGCCTGGCCCCCATAAGTGTTGTAACTGTACTGCTTGATAGTTTTTATAATTGCTGGTTCGAGGTTATTTTTCGAGTCTAGTAGAACCCCGAGATATTTTACAACTCCCTTTGGCTGAATGAATTGTCCCTGCAGCTTTGGAGGACCTAATCCCTCTAGTTTCCATCTGCGTGGAAGGCGACTATAGTGGATTTGTGGGGACATATTTAGCCCCTCTTTATAAGTCTATTGTCTCACTAGTTCTAGGGCCTCGTTGATGCGATCTCTGATTATCTACCATTTTATACTTTCCTTGCGGGATAATTACTAAATCATCCGCATATCAATCTGTTTTACGACTATTTGCCTTTAAAGTTCCTATTAGTCTCCATCACCATCATCCTTCATCATTAAACTTCACAATTTCACAGCAGTGGGGACAAAACTCTCCACTGCGTACATCCTCTGTCGACCTGGGCCAACATGGTCTCTCCAAGGATAGTAGTATTTACTACTCTATTTCTGAGCAAAGGTTCTATACAGTTCAAACATATGTCCTCTACTCCTTTTCATCCCGGTTATGTATGATATCGAAGTGTTGTTAAAACTCCCACTATATCCAAAAATGCTCACAAACCATCACTTATTTATTTCCAATTCTGTTCTCCACTTTTTCCAAGAGTCTGTGGAGTGCTGTCCCCTGCTAAATTATCTACTTTATAGGCATGCTGATCTTGTTGCAGTGTATATTAATGTTTTATCACCAATATATCTGTCGAGCAGTTTCTCTAATGTCTTCTCTAGGAATGACATTAGACTTATTGGTCTTTAGAGACTTTGTCTTTTCTCGTCTTCTTTTGTCCGGTTTAGGAATGAAAATTACTTTAATATCTCTTTATGTTTTAGGGATGTACTCAAGGGCTACACCACATCTGAATATATTGCATATTCTGCTGTATAAAAGTTCTTGGCCTCTTTTATAATAACACTGGATTTTATACCCTTCATTCCTCGTGATTTATAGAGCTAGCATGAGTTTATTGTCCTTGCTACTTTTTCATAATTTACAATCTTTTTGTCTATCTGCCAGTTAGTTCTTGAGGACCTCTGCAGAGCCTCATTACCTGCTGATTCTCACTTAATTGGGGATTCAACTATTTGTGATCCGGGGAAGTGCACCCTGAAGAGCTCTTTAGCCGTATCTCTTCCTGTATTGGTACACTTGCCCTTGTCATTTAGGGATGAGTTAATTGGTTTGTGTTTTTTCTTTGAAACCACCTTTCAAAAGTCTAGCACCAGCAACAGCGCTTTCAATTTTCTCGCAGTGCTTCCACTCTACACAGTATAGCTCTCCGTGTGGTTCTGTATTCTCCCCATTGTCTGGTTATTTCGGCTCGTCCTTTTCCTTAAAGCAAACAGTTCTTTACTCCACCATAAGGTATCCCTGGTGGAGCTCCTCTTTGTTTTAAAGGGTAGGTTTCTTGGATTGTTTAAATGCCAGCGTCATTTAGGTTATTTTCATAGCTACTTGGGTTCCAATAAGTGACTTTTGCTGCTTTTCCCTCTAAGGTGTATCTAATATGTCTATGGTCTGAGCAGCTTTCTTCTCAGACACCATTCTGATATAAAATTGCTCTCACCAGGAGGTCTCTGAATTTAACCACTGTCAAAATCGCCTCCTTCCAGAGAGTGCCCAGTACTTTAATCGTCTCCCTCCAGTTTTTTTGCGACATCATTGGCGCAGGTCAATGATGGCACTTCGCTGCCGAAGGGACACCATACAGTACTTCCAGCAGTTGGCTTTTGTACCAAGTGTGTGTCTGTTCTTGGCTTAATGTGTAATCGGGATGGCGTCTGTGTTTCACTGCCATTCTAATGTGAAACTCCGCTTCGTTTTAGCTCACCCCTTTTGAGATATCAGATTAAGAAAAAAAGAAAAGTATTAACAAAATAACGAGATAAATTTAAAAAGTTCTAAGTTCGATTATACATTTATGACAAAAGATAAAAGAGATACAAGATTACCCAAACATTATACAGTATTGTGCGAATTAATGGAATCACTGTGAATTTTTTTTCATTTTTTCAATATTCACAGTTGGCAACACTACCTACACAGTTGACAGCTGACCAAGCATTGAAAACATAACCTTACTGTGTGTTGGTGTGTTTGAGTGTGTTTTAGGTCATTTCTTACCAAGCTTGTGTTGTTTTGGGGGTTTTGTACTATTTTGTGTTGTTTTTGGTTTTATTCCAACATGGATATTACGCCTAGGAAGCGTGAAAAGATTGTCACGTTGAGTGAACACACTAGTATGTCACAAAGAGAGATTGCTAGAACGTGTGGAGTGAGTCAGGGGTAGTAAGCAAAATTTTGAAGCGTAAACGAGAAACGGGATCAGTGGATGTGAAAAGGTTAGGAAAATGTGGAAGAAAGAGAAAAACAACACCAGCAGATGATAGATTTTTACTTCGAAAGAGCAAATTGGACCCAAGAAAATCAAGCCAAGACCTACAACAAGATCTAGCAGCATCAGCTATAGTGATTCATGACTCAACTGTTCGTAGAAGACTTTTGGAGAATGGTAGAAGGGCAATTCGTCCACAGAAAAAACAGCTTCTAACTGAACGAATGAAGAAACAAAGGCTACTGTGGGCCAAAAAATACTCTAATTGGACTGTAGGCGACTGGAAAAAAGTCCTATTTACAGATGAAACCCACTTTATAGTTCAGGGACAGCGGTCGAAATTCGTCAGGAAGTCTGACAATGAAAAGCTTACACCATCTCATATTGATCAAACCGTAAAACATCCAGTCAAGAAAATGTTTTGGGGATGTTTTTCATACATGGGGGTTGGATCTTTGGTGCCAATTGAAGGCATGATGAACAGCCAAAAATACAAATCCATGTTGGAAAAGTATTTGGACAAACAACTCCAAAAATGTCAACCCCAAGGAGGAGCGATTCTTCAACAGGACTCTGCTCCCTGTCACAAATCAAAGGAAATGATGGCATTTTTCAAAAATAAGAAGATTAATGTTTTAGATTGGCCCGGTAATTCGCCCGACCTCAACCCCATTGAAAATTTATGGGCCATTTGCAAAGCTAGACTGCGAAAAATCGACTGTACCACTAAAACAAAAATGATAGAAGCGGCCATTCAGGTTTGGTATCGAGATGAAAGGATATCTGACAACTGCCAGAAACTCATAGAATCTATGCCAAAACGGGTAAAAGCAGTAATTGCTGCCAAAGGGGGACATATTTCCTACTGAATGATGTAAGTTTACCTTTATAGTTTTGTCAAAATATAATTTTTTACTAAATAAACTGTTTTTTCATTAAAACAGCCTATGATTCCATTAATTCGCACAATACTGTACTTTTATTTTATACTCACCTATACTTGACTTAATTTTTCTAAATTTCTAAAAACATTTAAATTGCAATTCAACCCAGACTACAAGACTGATAAAGACATGTCTTTATGTCAGATGATTGACGATATACTTATTTATGAATAAAAAAAAACAGAAGGAAATTGTCATCACAACATTTTTATTATAAGAACATTCATATAGTATGTTTATATTTCATAAATATATTTATATTTACATATTCATATGTCTACTTAACGTGAACAAGTTTTAAAAATGATTTGATTTAAAATAAAAATCTATAATATAAGTATTTTAAGTCACTGTGTCATTCCCACATTTTCAGTTCTTCCTTTATAACATGTTTTCGAAATAATTTTCATTTTTTCAAAATATTTTAGAATTATTTTCTCATATTATATATTATGTTATTTCTGATTGCCACCAAAGACCAATAGGGTATAGTTCTCAGTGGTAGGAAGTTATAGTATATTTGAAGAATAAGCTGGAGTAAATTCTCAGAATACTAATCTTCGCACCTCGAAATACATAGGCGTGCACATCTTCTAACTAAAACGTAATCTTAAAAGAAAAGTTTGCGTTAAATTTATTTGGATATTTAGAACAAAGTAATTAATCCAATCCAATACTGATTTAAAATAAAAAGATACACATAAAAAGAATAAAAATTATATTATTTGTGAAACATACAGTTAATATAAAATAATAAAATACAATAAATTATACTGAAACGTAAAATA